TTTTCGTAAATTATATTCGCTCACTAATGAATTTGAATTTATGAGAATACTACACAACGAACAAAACATAACAAAAGCAACGAATTTGTGAAAAACTCTCACTAATCAGTATTACAAAACATTCGAAGTGGAGCCCTCCAACATCAATACATTTTTGAGAGCGTGTATTTGATGATTCACTGACTTGCGAATTATTTGAGGGTTATTTCTAACACTAACACATGCAGCAGTAATTTACCATAAAAAATTTCTTCATTATGAATTTCTTACTTTAAATGACCTCATGAAAAATAATCTAGCTGAGTTAGATCAGGGGATAGCGGTGGCCAATTTACTGAACCTCCACGGCCAATCCATCTATCGGGGTAATTGGCATCGAGATGGTTTCGAACTGGAACAGAAAAGTGAGGTCTAGCACCATCATGCTGAAACCATATACCTCAGTTATTCACACCTTGCAATAGATCCGGTCAAGTATTGACCAGGAAATTTAGGTAAACATCACCAGTTAAAGCCCAAACACAAATAGAATATCTGCGTATCCCTCATAAGTGAAATGAAATGGCATCATAAGTACACTCTCAGAACTATAGTTTGATCCTAAAAACACTGGAATAATGAATGAACACCAATAAAACAAACGCTGATGACAGCTGTACAATGATTTTCCATAATGAAATTCTGAATATGACACAAGCCTAGTATTCTTTATACACAAACATTATGAGGTACTGATACGGATTTATTATTTGAGAGTTCAATCCGATCATTTTTCAACAAGTTTTTAACTTTTCTCAGTGCATTTCGAATCTGCTATCAGATCATTGTTATACTTAGATCATCTATTCTTACAGGAATATAATCATAGAAAACCGCATTCCAGTCCTGATACGAATTTATTTTTCAGTTTTTTCGGGTAATGAGAGTATTTCATTTTACTACGATTTACGGACTGATTAAAGAAAATAACGATATTCATGTCATGGTTTCGTTAATATTAATGATATTACCAATTTTGATAGTACTTTATCCGACAATACTTGAATTTTGGGAGAAAAAAATCAAATAATTATTAATTACGGAATAACTAAGATAGTGCCAGGACATTTTCCAACAAATTCCTATATAATTTTTACCGTAGATGTCGAATCTGAGTTGAAATTTTTTGTTATTATTATACAGGGTGAGTAATTCTCACAATAACTCAACATAGGGGAGAAATATCATTCCGGTCCTGATATTGGTTTCGATCAAAGGGCTACTTGTTGATGCTTTTCAGTGTAATTCGTGTACCAAGTTTGAATCTAATCGGTTAATCCCTGTATTTGATATGGCGGATTTATTTTTTGTCAAAATCCACAAATCACTCTGTATGTCAATAACGAAGTGGTTTTGGACATTGGTTTATGGCATTTTGCAATCATATTGACAGTCCCTATAACCCCATGAGTTTTGTCGGTTTTATCTCCGGACACCCTGTATAAGAGTTCGATATGAATGGTATAAAGTTATCTTCAAAGTTCCGCTACTGGGTGGTACAATGGGTGTGTACAAGACGCACTTTCACAACATTCCCAAAAGCTGAACGTTATTTGGCCCAACAGGAATGTATACAGGGTGTTCCTTAAAGACATGCTAATATTCAAGGGGGTGAATCTTCAACTCATTTCAAGAAAAAAACTTCCCACTAACGTACGTCCTAAAAGTCTTAACTTTTGAGATACAGTGTGATAAAGTTTTGAAAAATAATCAGTTTTTAAATGATGACTGGATTAATATTGTAGTCATCTTTATGAAATTTTGGTACATATCTTCTATGCATCAAGGTGCATTTTTTGATGTATACAAATTTTCCTTTTCTCTACCAGTGGCGCCGTTAGGAGGATATGATTGATTATATCATACTTGAAAGTGAGCAACGAAGGGATATTTCCAAATTCAATGAAATGCTATAAAAAGTCTCTAATTTTGTACAAAAAAGATCCTCCTGTTGATACCCGATAGGACGGTCCGTTTTGGAGAAAAAACGAGATCAAACTTCAAATTTTGATGTAAATGCTGAGCTTGAGTACTCCTTCCAGAGCAGCTATTACTAGATAACCACAGTTTGTATTATTTCGAACTTTTTGCACCGTTTCAGTCACATAGCAGAATGCATTTTGCCATCAGGAACAGCTATACAGGATGGACAAAAGAAGAATCTATGTATAAGTTCAACTTTGATACCCTGTATCTCAAAAGTTAGGACGTTTACGACATACGTTCATATGAAGTTTTATTCTTGAAATGGGTCCAAGAATCGCCCCCTTCAATATTAGCATGTCATTAAGGAACATCCTGTATAGTGCCTTTTTTTTAAATAAATTTTGAATGCAGACAGATACTTGCATCTGTTGAATATACAAATGATTCCGGCGCTGGAGGAGAAAGAACAACTACCAAATGATATCTGATGGTTTCAACAGGAAGGGACACCTCCCCATGCATTATCCCCGAATTGTTCGAGATCGCTTCGACAGGACATTCAATGAAATATGGGTTGGAGAAAGAGGTACCTACGATTGAAAGGCATGCGGGATCCCCCGATCTAACTCCACTGGACACTCCACATGGAGTTATTTGAAGTCAAGGTCATTTTAACCGACCAAATATAGTTGGTCAACACTATAGCTGCAAAAATAACCAAGGAAATTCAAATAATTCAACCAGGAGTAATTGCTAATGTCTAATGATTAGTGATCCACACCGAGTCTCGTCTCGAGTATTGTCTCGAAAACGAGACGAGACCATTGGAGACACTCGAAAACGAGAGTCTCGCGGGCACCACTACTAATGATATGAGGGACAAACTGACTAGCCTACTGTCAATATAGCTAAACGGTGGTCAGTTCGAACATTCAATAATATTTATTTATTATACAAGGGAAAAAAGTTGCAGATTTTATCGGGTTGTGTTGTCTCCCGAAGCGTAGCGCTACTCGTCGGGAGACAAAAAACCGTCAGCAAAATCTAATATTTTTCCTGTGCATATTACACATTTTTTTTCTGTGACAGGACGAAGGACGAATCAATATTGAGATGATATTACATTATATTGAAATCAGAAAATTGTCGACGTAAAATTTGAAGTTTTTAACAGGAATTACACCTGCGTTGCAGATAGGTATCTTTTTGCAGGCATCTTATTCATCATTCTTCTGAAGTAACTAATCAAATATCTGTCGTGTGGAATGGAAGATAAAATGGAAGATAAAAATACTTGCAGTGCTTTCTCGGAGACGGTGTTATTGGCTCATTTTTCGGAACTAGCACAACAAATGCCATCAACATTGTATATATATACATATATTCGGGAAAAAAGTACTCATGGACCGTGTATAAAAAAACAAAGTTGATAATGGTTCTACTAATACGTAAAGTCACGTAGAGAAATCGATATCATCACGTTAAATCTCAACGAAAGTTGGTATGAAAAAGTATTTTTAGTCCATCTGTATCTCTAATAATAACGTAGAAAAATTGAAAGCTTTTCCAAAAATTCACTTTTTTCGACATAACTGAAAAACTATAAACAATTTTGAACATTTTCGAAGGCCGTTGGTATGACCCTTCGAATGCGCAACTTTTCTCCCATTTGACCGAATTGATATCTCCTCCCGTTTCCGAGATCCCCATGCTGTATATTGTTCAGTTTCACTTTTTCATTCATTTTGAATAGATAAAAACTTATCTGAAAGTAAAAACAATGAGAAGAGCAATTCAAAGGTATCTTGAATAATATCTGTAGATTAATCTGGTATTAGGATGTTCATTTCTCGAGTTTTTATATTGTTTCTTTAAATGAATATATTATTTCAATATACATGGTGTCCGTTTAACGAGCTCCACCATGGGGATCTTAGTTATTATAAGAGATACGAGGTCGGTTGAATTAGGGCAAAGTTGCGAATTTTCATGCTGAACATTTATCTGCAAGAAAATGTGATGTTTCATTTTTAGTTTTTGAATTATTGGAAGAAAACGAAAATTTATAATTTTCGTTTTTATTTTTTCAAGCGGAAACCAAAAGACCTAGACGTTTCTGACTAGAACATTCTTAAAGCACTTCTTTACAAGGAATCTGAATCTGTCATTGTATTTTCCATGACGTTCTTGATGCCAAAGTTATAATACACAACTTTGTTTTTTCTTATGGGCGCCATATTGGATTTTTTCATTTTTGACAAGTCTTTTTTTTCTGATTACAATGATGTATCACACGATATGATCGAATTTTTCCTGTTGATCAAAATTGGGAAAAAACCCATTTTCGCGAAGAGTGCTTTGGAAAGAATGCCAACAGTTTTATTTAAAAAGCTGAATTTCGACAGTTTATTCATTTGGATCTGGAACGTTCACATTTTCGTCAAGCTCATCTTCTTTAAAACTGTGGTTTTCAATTAGGAACGACGTAATGAAATAGAAGTTTATTCTTCGCAGAACAAAACGAAACAAAGTTATAAAAGATGCTCGAATACTCCTAAACACAATCCTACGCGTATCCTCAGATTCTGAATTGTTCACAAGATGTACCGTTTTCTTATCTTATCTCATCTTATCTTTTCTTAATATGGCGCCCATGAGAAAAAACAAAGTTGAGTGTTGTAACTTTGGCATCAAGAACGTCATGGTGGGAATCCAAAGAAGGTGGGCATGGTGGAAATTGGGATCGTAGGAATTGGGCATCGCGGAAATATATGAAAAGTGGTCATGGTGGGAATCCAAGGAAGGTGGGCATGGTAGTAATTGGGCATCGTGGAAATCTATGAAAAGTGGGCATGGTGAGAATCTTGTGTTTTCTTCTTAACCTGGCAACCTTGCGCTCTTCAGCAATCTTAATCGTCGACATGAAAGTGGGCATCGTAGGAATTGGGCATCGTGGGAATTGGACATTGTGGGAATTGGGCATCGCGGGATGCTCCCCATGGGAATTGGAATGAAAAATGTATAGGTATACCCACCAGCATAGACGTGATAGTCAGTAGTGGCCCATCCAAGTAGTAAGGCACCATTGAGAACAGATAATAACCCCATTAAAATGATAACAGATGCTGTCACTTTCAATAACTTCTCGAAAAAGTAAGTACCGATGACTGTACCCAATATCCATGCCACATTGCTTGCACTATTGTAAAGGGTATATTGTTTCAGTGTCCAGTGTAGTTTTCCTCTCAGAAATAGAATCAGCACTGCACCATCCCCGTTCATAACGAATATATAAATCATGGACAGGCCGGTAATGAGCAGAATTATGGCTCTTTTATATTTTACTCGTCTCTTGAACGGTATTCTTATCATTTCTGTGAAATCTCTGCATTGAAATACACCTTTTAGTTTACCCTAAAAACAATCAAGTGTTTGTAAAGGCAATATTATTATAAATATACAAATTAACGTTCAAAGTAACACACCTCTGTCTCTACATTTTGAACAGATTCGGGTATATACAACATCGTATACAGAAGACTTAATCCGACAGTCCCGGCTGCTATTAAAAATACAGAGGCATAATTGGTTGCATAAAAAACGTAGGGGCCAGAAATATTTCCAACAAAAACGCCTATTGCCAGAAATGCTTCAAAAATTGCCATTCTGAAATAAAACAGCCAATGAGAGCTAACATTATTTATTGTCCACCATATCGCGCCAATGAATCGTGATGTCGGAGTTGGTAGAACTGATAAATATACTTCTTCTTTCACGATATCTTCTTCTCTGTCATTGTGAGAATTTATCGTGAACTTGAAGCTTCCTATCTGTTAAATATTCTACACCGTTTTTTCGTATATCTCCGATAAAACAAGCCGCCAAAATTTTGGGATTTTTGACTTTGATATTGACCTCACGTTTTAGCAGCGCCAACTGGTGATATTGAAAATGTTAGCCCCATAGCCCTCATTATGTTTATGCAGTTGGGAAGAGTTGAGAAGAGTTGAAAAGAGTACTATCTCTAGTACTAGTACATATCTTTAAGGAATCAAGAAACTGGTACTAACGAAGAGTTATGGAAAAACACTAGTTGGACATAACCCATTAATCGCAGCAAGATTTTACTTTTATAGAAATGTTTTATAAATACCTATACATCCTCCTTGATATTATTATAGTTTCAGATGGACACGCAACTATATCTAATCAATCCCCATAGAGGGACCCCAAGTGCGATTCGCAAAATGCACTCATAAACCGGGATACTTGGTTATGATGTGCGTGGATCGCACTAGTGCAGACTGGTTGAAGGAGGTCATCCCAACCATAAAACCCTGGGAGGGAGCTACCCTAACAGTGTTGGAGGGGGATGACTTACCTGAAACCTACGCCTGCACTACCTTCATCCCTGATGAAAGAGGGCAAAAGCCGGAGGCGGAAAAAATTCTGCACCGGCTCAAAGTCGCAAATCATGGGCTAAACACGCACCTTTGGACGGTTTGGGGCAAAACTCCTGCGGCCAAAGGTCAAACTTGGGTCTTCTCCATGGACAAACAGTCACTGGAAGAACTAGTGAAACTTGACATGTCTCCCTACTTCAATCTAGGGAGAATTAAGTTCAGACAGAAGGGGAAACATGTCAAGGAACAAGAAGAACACGCCGAGCCGATTCCGGAGGCCCAAGAGGCACAAGAAGAGGACGAGACAGAGTCCTCCCAAAGTGGGAGTAGCCCTCTCAAGAGGCAAATAGCACATGAGAGCGCAACACCCATGGAGGAGGGAGATGCCTCGAAGAAGGCGGAAGAAGGGTTCAGTTCACAGAACTGAACCGTAGGATCAGGGTTCTGCAGTTGAATCTCCATCATGCCAAGGCGTCCAGCGCTATGGTATGTAGGAGATTTGACAAAGAGGGTCTCGACCTGGCCCTCTTGCAAGAACCCTGGTTACATGGAGGGAGGGTAGCCGGCTTGAAACCCAACCAAGGTAAAGTACTATACGTAGAAGGTAAAAATAAACCTCGCGCATGCATAGTATATAGCGATAGAGTAAAATGCACACTAATACCGGTGCTCTGCACCGGTGATGTTGTTACAGGACTCCTAACCACGCCGACAGAGGAAGGTACCAGAAGCTGGATAGTGAGCTCCGCGTATTTCCCAGGCGAGGAGGTTTGCCCACCACCGATACTAGGCGAAGTAATCGCATATGCGGCAAGGGCAAACCTCCAACTCATCATAGGATGCGACGCAAATGCACACCATACCGTATGGGGAAGCACAGACGTCAACATAAGAGGTGAGTCACTTTTGCAATTCATACTAACAGAAAGGTTATTAATAGCTAATGTAGGATGCGAACCAACATTTGTCACGGCAGCGAGGAAAGAAGTTCTAGATATAACTCTCTCGTCAGAAAAAGCATGTGATAATATCGTCAACTGGCATGTTTCAGATGAACCTTCGTGTTCTGACCATAGACAAATAAGATTTGATATAATTACCCCACCTCGTACCTTAACAAAGTACAGAAACCCCAGAGAGACCAACTGGGAAGGATACGCAACATCACTCAGAGAATCTCTACAAAGGACCACGGCTGACATAAGGGACAGCCACAGTCTTGAGAGGTCAGTAGACCAAGTAAGCAAGGCAATAGTTGCCGCCTACGAAGGTAACTGCCCGGAAAAAACAAGACAACAAAGCAATAAAACAATCTGGTGGAACAAGCATCTCGAAACCCTACGAGGGGAGGTGCGAAGGCTATTCAACAAAGCAAAACTCGACCAGAATTGGACCACATATAAGGTTAAACTCACGCAGTACAACAAAGAGATTAGGAAATCGAAAAGGCAATCGTGGAAAAAGTTCTGTGAGGAGGTCACAGAAACCCCCACATGTTCAAGGATCCACAAAGTGCTAGCCAAAGAAGGTACTGTAAACCAAGTAGGTTTTCTGAGGAAGAATGACAATACCTACACAGCAACTTTTGAGGAGAGTCTGAAAATGCTCACTGAAGCACACTTTCCGGCCTCAGTAATTCTAAATGAGCCGATAGTGGCAGACAGCACCATCGGCAGGCCGAATAGGCCAACTGCCATAGAATGGAGGCTAGCTACAGAGATATCGAGGCCAAACAGAATTAGGTGGGCTATTAATAAATTTAAACCTTATAAATCTCCTGGAGTAGATGGAATATACCCCATCCTGCTTCAAAAGGGGCAGGAAATACTAATTCCACATTTGTGTCGTATATTCAAGGCTTGTATAGCAATACGATATATACCCATAGTATGGCAGAAGGTGACAGTCATCTACCTTCCCAAAGTGGGAAAGGTGGGTGACAAAATGACAAAATCATACCGCCCAATAAGTTTAATGTCGTTCCTGCTCAAAACGCTGGAAAGACTGATAGACAGATACATAAGAGACGAGGTATTACAAAGAAACCCGCTCAACGAACGCCAATATGCGTATCAGCCAGGCAAGTCAACTGACTTAGCACTGGATGATCTGAACAGGTTACTCGCAAAGTCGATAGAGGACAAAGAAATAGCTATAACAACATTCGTAGACATAGAAGGTGCTTTCAATAACGCATCAACAAATTCTATAATTAATGCCCTAGCAAGGAAAGGAGTACCGCTACTCCTGTGCCAGTGGATAAATGTCAATTTGAAAAATAGGGTTATCATATCCACAATTGGCGAGACAACTCTGACAGCTAGAGCAGATAGGGGATGCCCACAGGGAGGAGTATTATCGCCCCTACTATGGGCCATTCTAATGGACGAACTGATCAAAAGGCTAACATCCAAAGGGTATTATTGCTTAGGATATGCCGACGACCTGGCGGTTATCGCTAGAGGTAGATTCGCAAGTACGGTCTCGGAGCTCACACAAATCGCTCTAAACATAATTGACAATTGGTGTAAAGAGGAGGAACTCACCGTGAACCCTCATAAAACCACTATAGTGAATTTCACGAAAAAGAGAGTACTGGAAGGATTAAAGTCACCAGTACTCAACGGGGTAGAAATTCCGTTCGCCCTAGAGGCAAAATACTTAGGAGTCATCTTTGACCATAAGTTAACATGGAATCAACACCTACAAAAAATTGTTCAAAAAAGTACAGTAGCCTTTAATCTGTGCAGACGAATGTGCGGAAAAAATTGGGGACTGCAACCAAAAATGATCACATGGCTCTATGCCAGCGTCATCAGGCCTATGACAGCATATGGGTCAGTAGTTTGGTGGCCAAAGACACAACAGGCTGGAGTGATTCGAAGGCTCAGTGCTATTCAAAGGCAAGCTTGCCTGAGTGCCACTGGTGCAATGAAAACCACTCCAACAGCCGCTTTAGAGGTCCTCTTGAACCTACCACCACTACAAATATATATTCAAGGCGAAGCCAGAGCAGTCGTGAGTAGATTGTCAAGGGGTCAAGCACCCATAAGCAACGCGCACGGTAAAGACTATAGAAAGCTATATGAAGAGTTGGAAAGCGACCCCATCATGGGAATGCCAACGGATGGCATAATTCCAAAATATAGCTTCGAAAAAACTTTTAAAATAAGTATAACGGACAGAGAGGCATGGAAGGAAGGACCTCCTATCAATGCAGACATTGCTGTCTATACGGACGGCTCCAAAACTGAGTTTGGATCAGGAGCTGGTATTTATGGGGCCAAGCCAAAGACAAGAATCTCACTGAGCTTAGGTAAATACGCGACGGTGTTTCAGGCAGAAATTATTGCAATACATCATTGCGTGAAAGAATTGATAAGGCAAGAGTTTAAAGGCAAAACCATTGCAATCTATTCAGATAGCCAGGCGGCAATCAAAGCAGTCAACTCTATGCAAGTTAACTCAAAACTAGTATGGGACTGCTTATAGAAACCCTAAATGCACTGGGCAGTCAGAACAGACTGACTCTAGCATGGGTACCAGCACATACAGGGACGAGGGCAATGAAGAGGCAGACTCACTTGCCCGAGCAGGAGCAAACAAAGCTCTGAATGGCCCAGAACCCTTCTGTGGTATTGCGAAAGCTATACAAAAGACTAGTATCAAATCATGGATGCAAACCAAATCTCAAGAATGGTGGAACAAATCGCCAGGAATGAGACAGGCAAAAGAGTTTATTAAAAAACCATCGCCAACATTCACAGAATATCTACTAAGCCAGAAACGAAGTTCAACTAGAATACTAGTGGGACTTCTCACAGGGCATTGTAGGCTCAACAAACACATGAGTACGATAGGTCTGACTGAAGAACTGCTGTGCAGGTTCTGTCAGGAAGAGGAGGAAACAGCAGTACACATACTTTGCCACTGTGAGGGCTTGTCAAGACTAAGGTTCCTTACGCTGGGTGAGGAAAAACCAGAAGCCCAGAGATACACAGGGGATCTGAAAGCTAGCCTATGGAGTCTCATAGAGAAGACGGGGCTAGCCGAAGAACTCTAATCGATTTTGAGGGCAGACACAATAGATCTGAAAAGGTCGCGGTGTGGAGGCAGATAGCCCGAAGGCCCCATTCTAAATCTAATCTAAAATCTAATCTAATCAAAGTCTGATACAAAATCGTGAAAGGAAACATATATGTACATTTTTGTGAAATGTGGTTTTTCATGAATTTTAAAGAAATATTTGTTTCACCCACCTCATACCCCTGTTTTCTTCAGTGGTAATATCAGTGAGATATGATAAAATCACAGTCAAGAATGTGGGAAAACCACCCATTAACCCTGATGGAATACCGGCAATCAAAAAATACCAGGGAGATATGTATTCGATATAACTCATTATCGATATCAAGATCAAACCCAGAAGGGTACCTAAAATTGCAGTATTTCAATACCATCAAGTATACATGAATTATTTCTTACCTAGTAGAGAGAGAACCATGATGGGTTTTCTTCCGAATCTGTCAGACCATGGTCCGAGACTCATAGTTATTATTATCGAGAAGACAGATTCTGACGTCGATTTGATTGTACCTATTATGTTCGCTTCAGGTTGGACCAATTTTTCTAAATGTTCTGTTATATTATTATCGACGTTTCCTAACAGCGCACACTGTGCTTGGTTGTATCCTAACACGACATAGCAAGTGCGATAAATCAAAAGGTTTGCCATTATAGATCCTGAAAGTAGAAAATATCAATGTATAAATTATAATTGTGCTGACTATTTCACACTGTGATTTCACGCAGTTATAAAATGAATCAATCAAGAGTTCAAGACAAGTTCGGATTATCAGAGGGGTTATTTACCATGAGTGGTACGAGTCCGCAGGACGATGAAAGCAATTTACGTAACTTACGTTGGTTTTAATAAATATGTATGCATGATTTGGTAACAATAGCAAAACAAAGAAAAAGCTGTTGAAAACGAAATCAAATAATATCTCATTTCAACAGGTACGAACATTGAAATAGGTACAAATAAAAACAAAATAACGAAAATTGAAAATTCGACTAATTCAGTTATTGGAAAAATAAAATCATCTCGCACCCTCTACCAGGCTATTACGCAATATTTCATATACCGCCCGCCTCTTTCTCTGTTCTGTTTTCTCCTTCGCGTTGGCACCGTAACCACACGTACCTATCTCCTACCGTTTCAATTCCATTTATCCAATAAAAACATTTTTACAATACAAGATGTATGAACAATAATCTTCTAAAGGGGACATTGGACATGATAAAAATGTAAAATATACAATGCAGAACACTCAGATACGCCACAGAATTACCCTCCAAGGGAGCCCTCAGAGGCGGCCGATGCAGGCCTCGCCGATGATTTTTGTCTAGGTAACAACCCTCTGATGACAGTGATGGAGTATACCAGCTCATGTCAGTGAGTTGCCCAGGGCAGAAAAGATTGATCGTCAATTGCTACCTTCTTCCTTCTAATTTAGCATTTTTGTGTTGGAAAATAAAATAGCAATAAAATTCTTGGTGAAAAACTTTATGAGGGATGAGGGGTGGGATAGGTGTGGGAGGGTAATTGGGATCTAATAGACTGATTTCGTATCGGCAAATAGACTAGTTTTGTTAGCCGATAAGCGTGATAAGTTGTCTTGGTCCTGCTTCATGGTAATGCTCCGATAGTCGTTCAGCCGGGCCACATAGCGTTTAGTCTATACGGCCCGGCCAAACGACCACCGTTCTCGTTCAATTCAGCTTCTCAGCTGTTTGTTGTCTAGAGGCAGTCTATTAGGGATGAGGGGGAGGGGGGGGCTATCTCCTACCGATAGAATTACCTGACACCATCTTACCACAGATCTTACATCCTCATCGCATCGCAGGACAGGCAGGAAGAATATTCATATTTACATTCTAACCTCCGATATTCGTTCGGAGGTTCTAACAAATTACCAATCGAATTACCGTGATGTTTCCTATACTCATGTCTATTTTTCCATCATTATTATAATTCTTTACCTGTTTCGGTTTCTCAGACAGCTCCGGAGGGGGTCCAGACCCAATGGACACCCCCCCTCCCTTTATTACGCCACTGATCGAATTAGAGTTCCTAAATGTACTTGACACTGCTGTTTTGACGATAACACCGAACTTGCGTCTTGACTCTTCGTGTGTTGTTTTATTTTCGTGGAGTTGTCGATAACACCAAACTTGCGTCTTGACTCCAGTTGCGTTTTATTTATCTGATTCCGCCACCGGAATCACTTTAGTGTGTTGTTTTATTTGCAACCCTTCCGATTCTGGTTGCTACTTTCTATTCCGTGTCACTACGAAGAATGACGTGGAATGACTGTTGACAGTTGTCAAAAAATGAAATCATATCGACGAAAAACGAAACTTCTTGGAAGTAAAAGACATTTAGAAGACATTTTTATCGTGAGGTTCACAAGTTTATGATTTTTTCGTATGGGTGAATCGAAATGAAGGCAAATGGAAATGTGGGTAGATGGAAAATTTGGGCCTAACAAGATGTTTCCAAGTCTCTTCTCCTATATCCTGCGTGATAACTCAATATTCCAAAATGGCTCTGTTTCTTTTCGATTTTGTCGAATAGCTTATTGGCACGCGGAGGATGATTGCATTGAAAAGTGTTTTCGCAATTTATGAATAAAGCAATATTTCTCCGATACAACTAGGCATCCACGCATTTCCTCACCACGAGAATCGGATTCTTGTTTACTCGTTACCATGACGATCGTTGCCATGGCAATAGTTTTTCCATAACTGATTTCAGTCAAACTAAACCCGATACAACTTGGCCACCACGCATTTCCTCACCACGGGATTCGGGTTTTTGTTTACTCGTTACCATAACGATCGTTGCCATGGCAACAGTTTTTTCAAAACTGATTTCAGCTAAACGAAACTTGAGCCCAAGGTGGCTCACACCCCTATAACTTTTTTATTATTGAAGGTAGTAAAACGAAATTTGGGGTTTGTGAACTTTCGATTTTAAATAGGACGTCCTGTATTTTATTCCATAATCGGTTGGCGGTTGGATTAACGAATTCATTGATACCGGGTTCGATAGAGTTATTATAGTGACAGGAAAGTTTCCATATTGTGTCATTACACCCATTGAGCATAATATGGAAACTTCTAATACAAATCTCTTCGTTATCGTTCGGAATAACTGAGGAAAAAACTTGCAAGGGTGCAACGGTGTTTGCATTATTACGTACCACGTAACACCTTCAAATATCCATGAAACTCCTTCGTTACGTATAAAACAGCATCATAGCAGAAATTATGGTTTGTCTCAACATCATTCCATGAAATGGTATTTCTGTTATATAATTACACTTGATATGGCTTCCGTAATCATGATGAAATACCAAGAGTAAGTTCAGTAAGGGTGATACACATGATAAGCATCTCAGGCAGAATATACCAGATTATGCCGCATTTGTATCGTCCAAGCAGGATACCCGATCCTTCTCCTGTACGGCAAAATGTACTAGATGATACGTTGCTATAACAGTATGTTTCCGCAGATGTGTGTTCTAAACAGAATATCTGATCATTATTCTGTACAACAGAATATACAAGATGATGGGTTTCCTACGGTTTCCTATAATATTATTTTGCCGCATATTATTATGATTGTGTCTTCCAAGCATAGAAGCTTATCCTTATCTTGCACGGCAAAAAAACCACACTGAAAAACTTGGTCCAATCGTAAGGACAAAACGGTTCTTGCACTATCAATATACCTATTATACATTGATAATATTTATAAAATAATTCATAATTTTTTTTTTATTTCAGCCATGCATCGCCATAACATTATAACCTGTTGATAATGTTAGCTAGTCAATTCATATGTATGTTGTAATTTTGTATACGTGCAAGCCAAAATGCTGAATCGCATCACTCAGTGGTAACACAATCCTTTATGGTTAAGCTAATCGGAACTGAAATCAATCTATCTGCACCATCCTGCAGATTGAAATTCCCTTAAAAGCAATTAAAAATCCACGCGGACTGCGATGCATCGAAGAAAATTAAAGAATATAATGATGATGCCATATTATGACTTGAAAAAAAAAATTGGTGCCACCTTGTAGTACCTATGTGAAAAATTATTTCATTTGCTTATTTGTTTTTCGAAATCGGATAATAACATGTCATTCGAAATATCCTCCAGATAATCATTCCAATCGTGATGTTTCATTGTGAAATATGTCATTATAGTGATTTGTTTCATATTAACTTACTATGCAGTGAAATCAGATGGTAGATGACTCAGTTGGTGAAATAAGTAAGTCAGGATTTATCTGAATTCCTTATGGTTTCTTTGGTAAGTATAATCTGCATTTTGTAAAAAAAATTTTGTAAAATTTGTATATCGCTTCACTTCAAAGTTGGGAACCAACTCCCCAGAAGTCAAAACTTGTGCGGGGTTAGGAAGAGCGGTATTCTCATGAATACATGAAGAAAATTCATCAGGGGTGATTCCTTGTGACATTTCCTGGTTGAGTGGAAGAGTATAGCTTTGCTAAACTCCGCCAGGATAAATAAAGGCAATTTATTATTATTATTATTATTATTATCATTATTTCCTCAAGATATAGTTCGTATAAATTATCTGTGTCCAAAATATCCTAATTCCTGAGATACAGGACTATTGAATTAGTATATTACGTAATAAGTGTTGTAAGAAGCATATTACGCCCGAATGGAAAAGTTACGCATGCAGCCGCGGAATTATAATTCTTGACAGTTATGTCATCCGCTGTTGACGGCGATTACGCGATCATATGACTGGCGGAATAAACGAAAACTGTGCGATGTGCTTACTGTGCGTAAAGAGGTACTTATACCGAGGCTGTATCTCATGTGTTTTTGCCTACTCTCTATAGTGGCCGTAGAAAATATGTATATTACGTAATATGTGTTGTAAGATTTGTATAGAAGCAAATCACGCACGAATGGAAAAGTTACGCACGCAGCCGTGGTACTTACGTATTATTGTCTGAAATACAGGAATTTGATAATGAAAATGTGAACAAACCACTATTTATCGAGATATTTCAAGAAAAAGTTCGAAATTTCGCCTTCTTTTTCCCCTTGTGTTGGATGCATTTACAGCTACTTGCTCTCCTTATTTTGTCATTGAACACTTCATATACTCATGATGTACTTCGAGGAGACATTTTTATACAGAAAATTCAACAGGAAATATGATTTTTATGGCGGGTTTTCCATATTCAGTGAACAAGCATACCAGATGACGGCCATTTAATTAATAGTCAATCCAAATACAAGATGTCAAATGTCAACAGAGTGCTTTTGAATGAAATTACACACGCCATTCTAATATAACCGTGAATGTTTATCTGCCGAAATAGAATTTTTGATTATTATTTATTGTCAGTTCATATTAACAATAAAAAATATTTATTATGCTGTTCCAATATATGTGTTCGTAGAAAAAGTATGTAATGCGTCTATAAACTCTTCTACACTGAGGGAAAAAATTTGTAGCCGTTACTAAAAAATTAGTAACTACAGAATTTTTTTTTAGTACGATAGGGGACAGCAAGCATTAGTTGTTGACATAACTAATTCTGTTTTTCTGGAAACGCCTATTTGCCTCAAATGAAAAGTTTAGTTGAGTCATCTACGATGTTGTTGTGGTAACTAATAAGCCTTTT